GACATTTCTTGTAGCTTTTAGTTCCTATCAACAACTTACACTTTCTTTATCAATAGCAATAAATAAAATAGATAATTTTATTTATTTATTTATTAAATTTTAAATGTGTGAAAATTAAAAAATATTATTGAATATTGTGTGAACTTTATAAGTGATTGTTTTGTAAGTGATAACCTTGTATAATGGTTGCCAAGTGACATTCCTTTTTACTAGTTTTAGACATGTATATGGATCTTGTTTTCTTAAAAAATTCTATGATAAACAAAATTATTTTCTTTTTTTGTATTTTATTTTTATTGCAATTACTTGGTTGTGTGATAGTAATATAAATATTTTTGTCATTGTATATGTGAATAAATGTGTGTATATATGCATCTATATAATAATGAAATCTTTCTTCTAGAAAAATAACTTAATACTGTTCAAGTAGTTTGTTATCATAATTAAAGATAGATTTTAAATTGGGAAGAATGATCCGAAACTATCAGAGAAAGGGAGGGAAGTTGTAGGAAAAGGGCGGGAGAGGGAGGGAGAGGGCGCTGGCTTTGAATGAGGAGGCTTTCCCGCCCGATTGCAAGGGATCCAGGCACTGCAGGCAGAGCTCCTCAAGCACTGCAGCAGCAGCGTCGTCGGCGATGGATGAATGAATGAATCGATAGATGAATGTGGAGATGGATGGATGCCGTAGTTGACTCTCACCCGAATCGTCTCCACGCTCCACGCTCGAGGATTATTCTCGCACTTGCCCATGTCGATGCTTCACATCTGGTCGCACGTTTCAACCCCCCTGCGACCGAGGATCCACGTGCGGCGCCACCACCACCACCACCGGGGCGGGGGTTCTCAATCTTCCCGATTGTGCTAATGATCCGCAGCTCTTGCACTTTCGAGGGATCGTCAGAGCAGAGCAGCGGAAGGATCACAAATTCGCCTCTCTGCGCTGCTGCAGCCGCACCACCACCACCACCATCACCACCTCCTCCTCCTGCTCCTGCTGCACGTTCGATGGCGAAAAGATGCGCGTGACGTTGCAGAGCTGCCTCCAGCGTCCGCACACTCGAGGCCGCTGGCAAGCCAAGAGCGATCCTTGAGACGCGATTCTCTGGCTTCTTCAGCAGCGCGGTGTGTGGCAAACGCGTGCGTTGCTCTGTAGTGATCACTCTGCTCGGAATCGCTGGCGTAGTTGATGCTAGTCTTTAATTTGTTTTCTTCCTTTCGTTCTTGTTCTTCTCTTCTCTTCTTTCTGGTTTGTGGATGTGTAGTTGACTATAATTGAACGAGTTGTGAGTAAAGGCGATGAATGGTGGGGAGTTTCCGGTCAAGGAGTATCCATTTCAAAGCTCGTTGGCAGTCAAATTTTAAATACACAGGTAAGTGTCCAAACAAACATATTAGTGGATGAGACTCAAGAAGAGTTTCAAACAAGCTTCAAACTACAGTTGCACAAATCAATCTTTACACACATATATATATATATATATATATATATATAGACATACTTATTAATGCCACATTCTTAAATCATGTGATGATTAATTTCGTCCAATATCACTCCACCATGCTTGATGCAAATGAGATGGATGATCATCTGCCATGAGTGCAAAGGACAGTTTGTCATTTGTGCCTGAGCATCTCTTTTGCACAAGCCTTTCTTCCTCAAAAGAGCAGAAGGCATGCCTGTCAAGACTGCCCAAGTCTGTCTTTTTTAGACACTAGGACTTAGAAGGGTGGATTGGATATTGGCAAGATGAAGAAGTTCAATTTATCTTAGGCTAAGTTTGAGGTGTTCCATAAATTGATTCTTGCTATTATTTGTACTTTTTGTTTGACTATTGTAGGCACAAGAAGAGGCTCTACAATTTGGTTTGGTCATGATGCATGACATTGAAATCATGGTTATTGATGAAGAAGTTGTAACCTTTATCTGCTAAAACTACAATAGTGTTTTTGAATAATTAAGAATATTGATGGAAATAGATTGTTCATTATTCAAACACAAGAGTATACTTACAAATATGTAATCCATGTGATTTCAATCTTCTCAAGCTTATTGTGTTATCTTTCTTTAATACATATAATTTTTGATCAATTAGAGATGACGAATGATTATTACAACCAAAGCTACCTAAATTGTGGAGAAGCTTTCTCATGAAGAAGCATGCTAAAGTGAGATTAAAGAGCTCTTTGTCTAAAGATATTCATATTTTTGTATTCCTAAGATGGTTTATGTTTGCTTCTCTTCTCAAATTTTTATTGTTAGTATTATGTAAATTCCAATTAGAGTAATTTAGATAAGTGTTGTGAATAACATGGTTTTTGGTAGTGTTGTTGTGGGGAGGAGTAAGCAAGAAATCAAATTGGTAGTGATATTGATGGAAATCCCATTGTGGAGATAGAAAGCACAAATACAATGATATAATGAAATAGTTGGTCAGCTCTAATTCAAACTTCCAACAAGCTCTAACTCAATTGTTCACCTTACATCTTTCCAATGTTTGTCTTTAAGTTCGACTACAATCATGCTATCATAGCCTAGAAGATTGATGATGAAAATTCACCATCGCTAATTAAAAACACTCAAATGATTATAGATCACCATCAATAGTAAACATGCTTTTTGCTAATACAAGCATCAAACAAATTTTGAACCACTTATCACTACTAGAACAAATACACCTTGTCGATATGCTCCATCACAACCAAACATTAGCATCATCTTCTATTGATACTTTCTGTGTCTTTTACTTCTCATTGTATATCTTCTTAATATCCATCTTCAAATTATGGACTCAATTGTTTGTTGTGCTCTTGATCATAGGGCATATTATTCCATCTTTGAGCTCATAATCTATTTGCATATAATTCATGCAATTATTCAATATTTATGAGGAGAATTTGTATATAAAATTGTTGAATTCATAAGTAGTTGTAAAGCCTTATTGAATCTTTACCATTTATTTTTCATTCAAGTGCTTCAGTTGTATCACATGAAAATAACAAAATTTAGCACTAGATGTTCAGTAAATCTATTCAAAAGATCAATTGATAGAAATATTTTTCTTAGCTGAAAAGCACTCAACTTATTATCATATTTTGCTAATTCATAATAGCATATGCACACAATGATAGCTGATACAACTTATAAATTTAGTAATTGGTAATGTCTGAGGAAGGTGGCAGTCTCTATTGCAATGATTTGTGGATGGAATCTTGATGAAAAAAAACAAAACTTAAAAATTTGCCCTCTTCAACAAGAGTACTTGCTTACTTTATTGGATTGGATACTTAAGTTGTACAATGTTAAAAAATGACATATACCCTTAATTTTGTTTTATGTTGATTTGGGGTCTACAATGTATTATTTATATGCACAATGGCTGAGGTGGAATGCAAGAAAGGAGGACAAGGTTGCCTTCTGCACTCATGAGGAGAGTCTTGGGGAGATGCTTGAGCATAAAGGATGGACTATCCTATGCACTCATGGAGGATGATGATCCATCTCATCTGCATGAAACATAGAAGAGTGACATTGGACTAAATTAATCATCACATAATTTGGAGGTGTGGCTTTTAACAAGTTCATACATATATGTAAATAAATATGAACAAAAGGTCAATTAAAAATTTTATTAGTTGCTTTTTGTTTTAAGTTCTAAACAAGTAAATAATAAATACCTACGTGCTTTACATCATTGCACTTCTTTTTTGAAATACATCCAAATTTTATTTTAAATCAAATTATAAAACATTTATTTAGATAGAAAAATATTTATATTTTAGAAACTTTTATATTTATCTTTATGTACATGTATACATAACATTAGACTTTTGAAGAGAATAAAAAGAGAACAAATCAGAAAAATAAAATAAAATAAAATAGTAGATAGACTGAAAATAAGTTGTTCAAGTCATTACATATCATATGATGATTTCCATTTGTTGAAATTTTAAGTTTTTTTATCAAACTTATCACATGCATGTGCATAGCTTTCATGCTAATAGAAAAAACTTTTTAGGGCCATATTATACCAAGTTGTAGGTTTTTAAGAGATAGTCGGTGTTGCACACCTATTTGCAATTGTGTACATAATTCAAAACATAAAAATTTGTATGATAATATGACTTGTTTGTAGAATATGTTGAATTCAATGTGAACAATGGATTTGCTCCTCTTAACAAATTTTAGAGTTATCTAGTTTTGTGGAGGTTAATCAGATTGTATGGAGGTACATTTGCTACTTCAACATTTACTTCAGTTGAAGTTTATAGAAATCCTGGAAATCAAAAGTTCTGACTTCCTTATGACATGAGAATTCAAATTATAAGAATAAGTTTTGATCTACCAGTTAAGGTAATATAGTGCATAAATTTGAAGTTTATGTAGATTTTGAACTTGATCAATTAATTCTCTTAATTACTAGTCCTATTTCATTTGTCATGTTTAGGTTTTAAGAGATTCCCCTCCACATCTTGAACGTCCTATGAGGTCTCCAATTCCACAGAAACCTCTATCATCTTGTTCAAGACACTCGAAACAACCAGAAAACTAAAGACAAAAGTCACTGTAGCATCACTGATCACTAACTGGAAACTTGAAATGGTAAGTAGTTGAGTTCATCAGCTTGATATTTTCTCAAGAGCATAGATCCAATACACTAAAAAAAAAACCATTCATGTCCAAATGCAAGCCAGAACAAAAGCCATGATGCAATAGACTGCCCATTAACAAAAATTCTGCATACAAGCATCATGACTTGATGGTGACAATCATAGGCACTACAAAACCTTTATATCCATCTCTTTTTGCCTGATAATAAGCCTTTGATAAGGAACTTCTCCCGAAAACTAAAAGGGAGCAGCCCTCATTCACATGCTTAGAGAAAAGAAAATCTGCTGAAGTAGAGCTAAAAGTATTCGTCTAGATTCGGTAGACGGTAGACTTGACAAAATAACTAGCCATAGCTTCAAGACTTTCATTGCATTGGAGCATACGAGGCATGAAGATAGGACGCTTTCGATACCATGATGATAGGTCATAATACAATCTCATAATTCAAAAATGAGTCGAGTATAAGGTCAACAGTGAAGACAAGGGGAGACAGTCAATAGTGGATACTTGTACTATATTTCACAAGATTGAGAACTAAGTGCTTAGCCTGTGGCAAAGATGTGTAATCTCTAAGACTTGTTATTACGCTGAATACCTAAGGAATATAACCATCTCCAATGTACATACTTCCCATGAAAGTACCACTTAATGCTCCACGAATTTCTGCAACCTGATTCATTATGGGTAACGCTGCTACCGAATGAGCTCTCTGGAAATATGACCTATGTGTGTCCAAAACTGAGATCGTCCGAACTGCGCTAATTGCAAAGGTAATCCTAATGAAACTAATAGTTACTCACATCAAGAAAAGATGAGTTTCTTGAAGTGTTTTATCATTGGATTAACATGTGCAGGAAAGTCGCTTCTAAGAAGACCTTGACTTAAGGCCTGCAAGTTGAAAAGCCCACCTCCGAGACAATCCGAGAACTTGTTACGAGTGCGACAGAATGCTCCAAGGATCTTCAAGAGATCTCACCTGAACTCATACACAGATTAAGAAACTAGAGATGATATTGCTTGCTCCTCATCATTATTACAGCTGGCCAAGGCCTTTGCAACACGATCGGCTGCAAACCCCATTTCTCGAATTCTATTGAAAGGAGGACAGAAATCAAGAACCTGCACGCAGTAAAAACACCAGCGTCAGAAGCACTAGCCGAGCTGATAAAATTTGGAAGTCAGTAAGAATAACGGGTCCAAAATGTTCGACTCAGTGACATTCATGAGCTAGATTGTTATCGCCCATGCTCTGCTGATGACACCCGTTTTCCATCATCATAATCGATCTGACTATTTCTCGACATTTCCACCGTAGAACGCGCTAAAATGTGCATCTTGAGTTATAAGTTTAATCGCATAAAGCAAATGTCTGATGATAATTAAAATCCAGATTATTTTGATGTAATACAGCACAAATTCATCAGCTAAGTAGGTTTAGAGTAATCCACTGAGCTCTACACAGAAGAGAAAATCGTAGTCCCAAAGTTCGTGCGGGTAGCTTGATAGGTATATTGATACCAGCGAATAGCATGAGTGAACCAGTTTTTCCTTTTCAGTGTAAATATACAGCAAAAAGATATGGCAGTCATATTGCTTTCCGTTACTCTTCCAAGGAAATATTAAACACCGCAGCACCAGCAGAACAATGATTAGCGTGAAATCACCTTGTTTTGATCGTCTCCATAAGTTTGAAGAGCATACTGTACAGCTTCTTTATTATGGCCCATGGCAAGATATTTGGCTACCGTCGCATCTTCCACCTGCAAAATGAGCATAACGATCTAGTCATGCAGGGTTGATAATCACAATCAATTAGGTCAACACACTTCAATGTTTCTAAGGCGAAAAGCAATATTTCGGGGATTCGTTGCTGGTCTTGTGAATTCAATAAGGTTCATATCTGATGGATTTTCTGGTATGCAGCAATCTTAAGGTATGATTAAGAATGCAGAGTATGTTATGGGCAAACAAAGGCAGTCCAGAACAGCAGTAAAAAGGACAGGAAACATCTAATCAATGTCTTTAAAACAGCCTGTCATGTGACTTGCTGTGCTGCATCCATAAGCCAAAAACTGACTGGTAACTTCACGGTTATCGAATTCCCGACCAGAAACTTCTTGAGTAGACCCAAACTCTCACGACTTTTTAGGCGTAGTTACCACAGCCTCTTCAAAAATAAAAAAATAAAATAAAAATAAAAATGCAGCCAATGAATTAAAGTTGGGAGTTCCAATTTAACTTTAAGACTAAAAACATCTAGTCCCAAAACTCCATTTACATTAAAAACGGTTAACAAACTCTAACAATAAATTTGACGGAAACACTACAAGCCCGGAAGTTACTCTTTACATGGTCAAACAGCCCATTCCATGTCCAATAAACTTACTTCAGCAAGATCAGCTTCCGAGTTAGATTGACTTAGAGTGGCCCCACTTCCAGCTCTAAAATTGAGATTTCCCTGCTCCGCCTCTGCAAGGATGCGACGCTCTAAATCAAACTCGAACTGAAATAAGCTCCGGGGCACCTCCCTGCTCTGCACTCTTAGTTGAGCCTGAAAAAATTGTGGTCATGACAGAGCTTATCCACTAATGTTCAATCATAACCCTCACGACGAGTTCAAAAAAGTAATTATATATTTCTCTAGTAAAGTATGATAGAAGCCGATACATACTTAATGACAACGACCTTTCAGCAGGAAAAAGATGTGAGAGAGAAAGGAAGCGAGAGAGAGAGAGAGAGAGAGAGAGAGAGATAGAGACATACAGGTGGACCCAATCGATACATAGGTTTGATGGTCACTTTGATAGCTGATCCTGCTGCAAAATATCCATCATTCTTACTATTAACAAATGCAGATTAAAGGAGAGGGAGAAGTCCAAATAGAAAATATACTGATGTAAAATCCATTCTCTAAAAACAGACAATGATGGGGCTCTTAAACAAAAGTTATCATAGCGCGAAAAACCGAGCTCTTTAACATAGAATGCAGCTCAATAGATTCTTTTTGTGCAGACATTCCCCCTTACTGAGAACTTGAAAATTCACTGTTCATGAAAATAAAACAAAAATGAAACATGTACATATACAATCATACAGAGTGGGATTATGAATGCTTACAAGGGAAAGATGGAACCGATAAAAGAGGTGCCTGGGGCGGACCGCGATTCATCAATGCATCCCCTGCGGATTGCCCTACTCGGGGATAGCTACCTTGCACGTTACTCCCTTGTCTACTATGATACATCGGCCTTCCCATCTCATAACCACCACTCCCGTGCCCGCTTCGTCCATAATCATATTCCATCCTCCGCTCCAAACTCCCACTGCCAAATCAATCGATGACGTCTCCCAATCGTCGCCACTCCAAACCCTAAATTCACCGACAAAAACCACAATCTCAGAAAGCCTTGAAATTCTCCAAAATCACATCAACCCTCAAAAAAAAAAAAAAAAACACATTACAAACACAACCCATATCCCACAATTACCACGCTCTAAATCCATTCCATACCGAAAGAAAAATAAACGGGAGAGACAGTAAACTCACTACAACAGCCAGATCGTTGTATTCTTCAGCACCCCTGCCTACCGGAGCGTTGCACCAAACTGCGGCACCCAGGGCTCCGATCCTGGCGACCAACTCTAATGAGCACTCAGTGGTGAAAATACGACTGCGACGACCGTGAGGATCCTGATTCAAGTTCACATACATAGACAAGGAGGTTGGGGGGGGGGGGGGGGGGGTCAATAGGTACATCAGCTTTGCTTTGGAGGTCGCTCGCCGACCACTGCCTTAAAGAAGGTTCCTAGAAACGGTGCTGGTGATGGAATCATTTCCATCCGCGAGTTAAGTTTTAATTTGGAATTCTTCTTATTATTTATTTATTATGAAATTGCGACTTCACACAACACTTGGTAAGCTCACATCTGATATGCTGAGGGTGGACATCACACTATGCTTCGTCATCTACATTTTGGCAAGGGTAAGATCTATATATGTATATATATATATATATATTTATACAAGCATTTTGTATATGTATATATAAATTTATTTATTAGAGTAATATGTTAAATCAACTTATTTAGGCATAATAAAGAGCAATATAATTTGGTTGTGTGCATGGATGGATAAACATACAAACATGTATTAACCACACTTCTAATTAAGAAGGAATGAATATCTAAATTATGTACTATATATATATATATATATATATATATATACTTTTTAATATGTCATAAAACAACCAAGATGAATTTTAATTACTTAGAAGAATTTGAAGATTATATCCTTAAACATGAAAAAATACTATTATTATATATATTTTGTAAAATTTTATACCAACATTGATTTAATTAATACCAATCTAAAATTATAAAAGTTAACCAACTTTCTTTTATACAAGTCTAAAAAACTATTATCTATTTGGTTGTAGTTGTTATGAAAATTTATATCTTTTTACGATGAAATAATGATTGTTTGGAAAGTTAAACAAATAAAAAATTAATAATATTATAAATACAAATTTATATTTCAAATAATTAAACTAAAATTATCATTAGTAAAAATACATATAAGTTTTAAATTTTATATATATATATATATATATATATATATATATATATATATATTTAAGTTAACAAATTATATTATATAATATACAAAATATCATTTTTACAACCATGACTTAGTATACAATTGTAAAGAATTTTGCACAACTATAAAATCAGACAATTAATCATATGTATAGTAGTTTGTAAGTTAAATTAGTATTTAAATTATATGAAAAATCATTAAAAATTTAATAAACTAAAGACAAGACCTATTTTAGAAATATATATATTCTTAAAATATATAAGTAAAAATTTAAAAAATACATAATATTATTTTAAAATTTTAAAATTAATTTCTATATTTAAAAATAATGATTCTTAAATAGATGTTTAAAATATCATTATAATTCAAATTTTATAGCATAAAAATTATTATTAATATATATATATATCTATTTATATAATTTATATATTTAAAAATTATGAATTCTATATTATTATTTGATTATTTTAATTTTATTTTTTGATTGAAATAATATAATATTAATAGTATAGATCATTATAGCTTAATATATATATATATATATATATATATATATATAATTAGTCCTTGTTACAATCAATCTCTTGAGACTAAAGAAATTATTGAGTATATAATATAATATAGTATATGTGGTACAAATTGAAACCAACAAAATAGATTGATTATAATCCAAAGTTGAATTTAATAAGGTTGATCATAATAAATGGTAAAAATAATTATAATATATATATATATATATATATATATATATATATATATATGTCACATGCATATATTTATTGTAATTGTTATTTAAGTCACATGAATGGATAGAAGAAGTTAAATGTAGATTAATTTCATAATATCTTCTAGAAAAGCTTCCTAGAAGCTTAATATATACTGCTTTGATTTTGCATGTATTTGTAGTTGATTGATAGGTTAGGAACTTGATCAACAATTTAATCACGTGCCACACATGTTGGTAGCTTGGAAAACAAGCTAACTATGTGGCGCCTATATAAAAAATTTGTCTTGCAAGTTATGATACATGTTGTGCGAAATCAACACGTTTTGGAGGTCCTTTAAAATGTTGCCACATAGCTCCTAAGTAGATAGTATATATAGAGGTAAGAGTGAAGTCTTCTTTACTCTTATTAATTCTTTTCTTGCTTCTAGTTTAGTTTCAAGAAGTCTCTAGTTTTCTTATCTTATAGCAATAGCTATTTTTTGTTTTTTAATATATATATATATATATTTCTTTATTTCTATTTTTTTATACTTCTTTGAAAAAGTCTCATTTATTTATTTGTTTTCATCGAGTTCTTATCCTTAACAAAATGACAAGATTTTATTTTTAATATTTAAGCTTTGTCTTTTTTTGATTAGGCATGGATTTTTTTTTTTCATAAGACATAAGTGTATTAGAAGTTGTAGATTATCCTTTTCTAAATTAATATTATTTTTAGTATTTTCTTCATTTTGAAGTTCTTATTTTTACTTATCTTGAGTAATATTAGATTTTTTTTTAAAATTTTTTTTATTTTATTTTTTTAAAATTATTAGTATTACAGATCTTATCAAAATGAAGAGTGCAATAGCACAAATGTAAGAACAATTGAAGAAATTAATGCTTGCAATGCATCTATTCAATTTACTACCATATAAATGAATAAGAATGACAAAAAATGGAGATATAAAGATGATTCGAGCTACTTCAATATCTTCACCAAACCATTACTTGATTTGTTCTTCTTGTCAAGGACAAGACCTCGATGAAAAAGCAATTCAGACAAGTGAGCCTTCACTCAAAGAAAGGTAATAAAATATAAATAATAAAGTATGTATATTGAAAGAGAAATTGGAATGTCTATTGCCAAAAGACAAGAAAACTAGAGACCCTTGAAACTAGACTGGAAGCAAGAAAAGAGTTGATAAGAGTGAAGAAGGCTTCACTCTTGTTTCTATATATACTATCTAATTAGGGACTATGTGGCGATGTTCTATAAGACCTTCAATAAGTGTTGACTTTGTAGGACATATGCCTTGATTTACAAGGCAAGTTTTTCTACATATGAGCCACATAGTTATCTTGGTCTTCAAGCTAACAACATGTGTGGCACATGGTCAACTTGTTGACCATGTTTCTAATCCAAAAAGTCAATTAAAGACACCTTTAAAGTCAAAGTAATATGTATAAAGCTTCTAGAAAGCTTCCATACCAAATACTATAGAATTAACTTACTTTTATTTATTTTTACTTATTTCTATCTATTTATATATGTAATTACTGGCTTATATGAGTATGTCCGTGATATTACTCCCTCTTTTAGGGACGAGTTCTACGAGGAGCGGTCATCATATATTAAGAAAATCTATGATACGATGAATTATATTCGCCACATACTCTGATCTTTGTTCTCTTCCAAGATGATTGAGAGGGCCTCTCAACCATTGATAGTGTCCCATACCAGGGCGAAGAGACCATCTAATTATTTGATCATTGTTGAGGCCTTCATAACTTCCTTCGAATAGAACATTTGGAACACCATTAGAAATTGTTCCTACCTCTAGTAAAATCACTTAACATCGAGAGTCCCTTCCCAAGTCGTGATACCAAATGTGTTGTATCTTGCCATCTATTCGAGGAAGAACATGTCGTTCTTGAAGATCTTCATGTCAATTGCATCGTCTTGAAGGTTGTCACAATCGTAATATCTCATCCGACTAAGTAGGTCAGCAAATGAAGGCTCTTGAGTCAAATCTGCTGGTTGTTGGTTCTCCATCTCCTGAGCGTCACAACTACAAAGAAGCTACAAGTAAGGATTGAAAGTAGAATGTTATCTTACATAGATATTGTTTCTTTTATAAAGAAGATTTTTATCTTGATTTTGATGGATGTCGTTGATGAAAAGCTTCCATCGCCTTTGCTGCATTTATAAGATACTTTATTGGCTCCCATGTGCGTTCACTAATATCATATCCGCACCAATGGACAAGATATTCTAATTTATTTTGGCGTCACCTTGAATCTAAGACTTCTTTTATTTCAAACTTTTTATTATTGTCCACTTCTATAGGAGGAGGTAGAGCTTATCATCTTTTTGGTATATCCACTGTCTTGTATGGTTCAAGAAGAGATACATGGAATATTGGATGGATTTTTATTGACTCTAATAGATTTAAACGATATGTGACTGGTTTGATTTGTACAAAAATAGAAAATGGTCCCAACCTTTGATAGTCCAACTTGTCACAAGGACGAGTGGTCTTGATATTGTGACGAAGTAGCTATACCTTATCACCCAAGTGGAATGGTGGTTATTCCTTTTGATATACATCCACATTGACCTTGTATTGTTCTTAAGCTTCTTTTAACTACGCCTTCATCATTGCATGTAGCTCTGATAAATGAATTGCCAAATCTTTTACAGCAGGATTATCAACTTTTGAAAATTCAAAAGTATCAAGTCATGGATGATAACCATAATTAGCAAAGAAAGGTGTTTGTTTTGTAGAAGAATGTACCATGTTATTGTAAGCAAACTCTGTAGATGACAAAAGAGTTGTCCAATCATCTTGTTGGTAGTTAATGGTACATCTTAAATATTGCTCCAAAACTTGATTAACATGCTCCGTTTGTCCATCAGTTTGAGGATGGAATGTTGAAGATAGTTTTATATCCACTTTTAGAATCTTGAAAAGAGTCCGCCAAAATCTTGATATAAATTGAGTTTTCCTATCTGATTTAATATCCTTGAATAATCCATGATAGCAATAGATATTGTCAAAAAAGAGCTTAGTTGTTTTTTCACATGTGATAGATTTTGTACATGATACAAAATGTGCCATCTTGATAAAATGATCTACTCTCACGAATATAGAGTCATAAGAACTTGAGATTGGAAGATCCATGATGAAGTCCATAGAAATAGAAGACCATGGTTGTTTTGGAATGGATAATGGCTGAAGAAGTCCAAAAGGTCGATGACGAAGAGTTTTTGATCTTGAGCAAACATCACATGATTGTACAAAATCATTGACTGCCTTTCACATTTGAGGCCACCAAAAATCCCTAGATATCAGCTCCAAAGTCTTATTGTATTCAAAATGTCATGCTGTTGGGAAGTCATGACGAGCTTGAAGAATATG